AAATGAACGCTAAATGAACGCTAAATGAACGCTAAGCGAACGCTAAACGACCGCTAAACGAACGCTAAATGAACGCTAAATGAAAGCTAAATGAACGCTAAGCGAACGCTAAGCGAACACTAAATGAACGCTAAATGAACGCTAAACGAACGCTAAATGAATGCTAAATGAATGTTAAATGAATGCTAAACGAATGCTAAACGAATGCTAAATGAATGCTAAATGAACGCTAAACGAACGCCAAACGAACGCTAAATGAATGCTAAACGGACGCTAAACGACCGCTAAACGAACGCTAAATGAATGCTAAACGAATGCTAAACGAATGCTAAACGAATGCTAAATGAACGCTAAATGAACGCTAAATGAACGCTAAATGAACGCTAAGCGAACGCTAAGCGAACGCTAAACGAACGCTAAACGAATGCTAAACGAACGCTAAATGAACGTTAAATGAACGCTAAATGAACGCTAAACGAATGCTAAACGAACGCTAAACGAACGCTAAACGAACGCTAAACGAACGCTAAATGAACTCGAAATGAACGCTAAATGAACGCTAAGCGAACGCTAAACGAACGCTAAATGAACGCTAAACGAACGCTAAACGAACACTAAATGAACGCTAAATGAACGCTAAATGAACGCTAAACGAACGCTAAACGGATGCTAAACGACCGCTAAACGAATGCTAAACGAACCCTAAATGAACGCTAAGCGAACGCTAAATGAATGCTAAATAAACGCTAAATGAACACTAAATGAACGCTAAGCGAACGCTAAGCGAACGCTAAGCGAACGCTAAATGAACGCTAAGCAAACGCTAAATGAACGCTAAGCGAACGCTAAATGAACGCTAAGCAAACGCTAAATGAACGCTAAGCGAACGCTAAACGAACGCTAAATGAACGCTAAACGCATGCTAAACGCATGCTAAACGCATGCTAAACTGTACGCTGAAAGATCTAAGATATGCCAAACACTAAGGGGTTTATGGTATATTAAACAGCAGCCTGAACATAATGTAATAAATGTAGTGGTTTAATAAAATACAGAATAGGTTTGAGAATAGTTGTCTTGTTTTATCTAGTGCCCATAATGATGCATGCCCATGGTAAGTGCATGGGTGAGAACTGACTATCAGTTGCATTTGGTACGAAACAGCAATCACTGAGTACAAGGTGGGGTACAACTTGGTGGTACTGTACTGCAAAACACTGAAACTGTTAAACATAAAAACAGTTTGAGGCTGAGAAAAAGAATCGATACAACAAAAAAACTAAAACAGGAACACAAAGAAGGAAGCTGAAAACTGTAAGGAGGGAGCTCCTGACGCAGGGAGGGCTGATTATAGAGTGAGTGCAGCTGGGCTGACTGATGTAAGGCTGGTGTCAGTGAAGAAAGGCCCTGAAGAATGATTAAAAATGCCATATAAGAAAAACACAAGATGAGACAGAGCTTTATTGATCCCGCAGGAAACATAACAGAAAATAAAACTCATGACAGGAAATGGATGTCATTCCTCATGATGGCTGGTGTTGGAAAGGTGGCTGAGAAGCTGAAGGTAAGCATGGTTCTCTTGCAGGCACAAGGAAGTAGATGAGGAATCCAGAGTTGGAGATGCAGGAGGCAGGCACTAGGAGCATAAGGAGAAGACAGGGTAATTATAAATCTTCAAGAACCAAGAGAAGGCTGATAGCAACTAGCAGTAGGTATGTAATGCTCCAGCAAGGAGGGGGGCTCTCCTGCAGTCTTTTATTCTCCTGGAGCTCAATGACCCACAGCTGCTGCTCTTTAGTTCCGCCCAGGAACCTGGGGAAAAAGCTTGAACCCTACACTGGGGCCGAACAGGCAGGCATTAGAACACACACTGAAAAAACTGCTGGGTTTATTTGATAACTCAGTTGCTGAATTAAATATGGAGTTATTTGAATGGTTTGACCAAATACTGGGTCAAATGTTTGAACCAGTGGACACATCAGAGATGAGCCTGTCAGGTAGTATGTAGCTGAAGTCCAAATGTGGGAATAATGGAACAGAATGGGAAAAACTGTTTATAATAACAAAACAAAAAGCTGATGCTGCATGAAAACTACAAATGACAACACAAAGAACCACAGCAGTGAAACAGGAAGACAGAGCAAAGAGTTATTAGGTAGTGATAAGATAAGTCAGCTGATTTACAGATGTGGGCTGTGTGTGTGTGTGTGGGGGGGGGGGGGGGGGGGTTAATTTTAATATACTTTTCTTTTGTCAGGTTTTGTTATTTAATTTATAGCAATCATTTAATATTTTCCCTTTTTAGTTGCACAGAAATTTTTTGTTTGTTTGTTTTTCAAGATAAATTTAATCGTCATTTCAATTTAGTTTTTAAAAATGAAAGAAGTCCTCTTGTCTAAAGATTACATCATAGACTAAACTTCCTGCTACTTTCCTTACATTTAATTTTTCCACTAAAGGAGTTTAAACTTAAATAAGCACAAAGGAAAACACATAATTGAAGAGTAGCTTCTTTTCTCAAGTATTTATTATTTGTACTGTTTTGTATTTTATTATGTTTTTATCTGTGATTTTCATAAGTATCAAAGCAATGGATAAATTATTACATTAGTTTGTAACAACCTTGTTATTCTGCATGGTTACGTGGATCAAGTCTCTTTTGAGAATGAGACCTTGTCTCAAAAACATTTCTGAGAAAATTACATAGCAAAATATGAACAATAACGTTCTAAACAACTTTTTTCTTTTTTTATTAAATATGATAAAAACTAACTGTTCTTTTGTTGTTCTAGAGTTCTCCATAACTACATGTTGTGGCGCATCGTGGCGGCGCTAAGTGAACACCTGTCCACTGCCTTCCGAAGCACCATCCATGAGTTTTCTCGGGAGATAGACGGCACAGAGCAGCAGCTGGAACTGGGCCGACTCTGCCTGACTCAGGCCAACAAACACTTTGGCATGGCTCTGGGAGCGCTGTTTGTCCAGAAACACTTTTCTTCTCAGAGCAAAGCCAAGGTTAGAAATGATGCAGATGACTCAAATGATTTGAGTCACAAAACATTTGATTTTGTGACTCAAAACCAAACGTTGCTGTTCTCTCTGTTATCTGTCCTGACATGAGACAAGCTTGATTTCAAGGGTTAAAAAGCAAGAAAGCAGAGTTTATTTAACACAAATATTTTAGTTATTTATGATAAGAGTAAAGGATATAAATTTAAGCCAGAGTTTAGACTAAGATCATATTACATTACATTATGTAGAGAAATTAGATGTAGACGTTTTGGTCTAACCTAAAAAATATTATTATTTGCAATCTTAACATTTTAAGATGTCACGCTGGAAATATAAGTATTATTCTGAAAGATCCTCAGCTGCATCTTATTATTATTTCAGTTTTTCCTCTTCAGGGTCTCCACAGCGAGTCATCCTCCTCCATCTCACTCTGTCCTCTGCATCCTCTGTCCTCACTCCATCTACCTCCATGTCCTCTCTAACTGCATCCATACAGTATATCTCCTCTTTGTCTTTTTCCTGGCAGCTGCATCTCTAACATCCTTCTACCAATATAACCACTGTCCCTCCTCTGGACATGTCCAAACCATCTCAGTCTGGTCTCTCTAACTTTATCTCCCAGTTGTTCAACCTGTGCTGTCCCTCTGATGATCTCATTCCTGATCTTATCCAGCCTTATCACTCCTAAGGAGAACCTCAACATCTTCATTTCTCCAGTTCTGTCTCCTGTCTTTTTGTCAATGTCTCTGTCTCCAGACCATGCAACATAGCTGGTCTCATCACTGTCTTGTAAACTTGTCCTTTGACCTTTGCTGACACCCTTTTGTCGCAAATCACTCCTGAAACTTTTCTCCATCCACTCCATCCTGCCTGGACTCTCTTTTTCATCTCTTTACTACATTCCCCATTTTCCTGGACGGTGGACCCCAAGTACTTGAAGTCCTGCTCCTTGTAGCCTCACTGTTCTACCGGTCTTTCACCTTGAAGCTATGTGTCACTCCTACAGCACATCTCACCATTGCCCTTCTGTCCTCATACATGTCCTGTACCAGTCTAACATACTTCTGTCACTCCAGATTTCCTCATGCAATACCACACCTCCTCTCTTGGCACTCTGTCATATGCTTTTAATCCACAAAGACACAATGGAGTTCTTTCTGACCCTCTCTGTACTTCTCCATCAGCATCCTCAAAGCAAAGATGGCATCTGTGGTGCTTTTTCTTGGCATGAAACCATACTGCTGCTCACAAATTGTCACCTCTCATCCGAGTCTTGCTTCAACAACTCTCTCCCAGATCTTCATCGTATGGCTCATCAACTTAATTCCCCTGTACTTGCTACAACTCTGTACATCACCCTTGTTCTTAAAAATGGGCACCAGTACACTCCTTCTGTGCATCACCCTTGTTCTTAAAAATGAGCACCAGCACACTCCTTCTCTATTTCTGAGGCATTTTCTCACCCTCATATATGCCATTGAATATTTGAGTCAAAAAACTCTGCCATCTCTCCAAGACATTTCCAAACCTCCACTGGTATGTCACCAGGTCCTACTGCCTTCCCCTTCTTCATTCTTTTCATAGCTTTCCATACTTCACAGTCACTAATCTTTCCCACTTCCTGGTCCACAGTTTCTATGACCTCTCTTCTTTCTCTTTCATTTTCTTCATTCATAAGCTCCTCAAAGTTCTCCTTCCATCTTCCCGTCACACTCTCCTCACTTGTTAGAACATTACCATTCCTATATTTAATAAGCCTAACCTGCTGCACATCCTTTCCAGCCTGATCCCTCTGTCTTGCCAATCGGTACAAGTCCTTCTCGCCCTCTTTAGTGTCCAGTCTCCTATACAACTCATCATACGTCTTCTGCTTTGCCTTTGCCATCTCCCTCTTTGTTCTACATCCCATCTCCTTATATTCCTGTCTCCTCTCTTCAGTCCTCTCTCTGTCATATTTCTTCTTGGCTAACCTCTTTCTTTGAACAGCTTCCTAGACTTCACTATTCCACCTCCAGGTTTCCTTATCATCCATTCTCTGTCCAGATGACACACCAAGTACCTTCCTACCTGTTTCTCTAATTACTGTTGCTATAGTAGCCCAGTTATTTGAAGCTCTTTCTTACCACCTTTAACAGTTCATCTCTGAATTTCTCACAACATTCTTCCTTCTTCATCTTCCACCATTTGGTCTTCTTCTCTGATTTTACTATTTTTCTCTTTTTCACAACAACAGTCATTCTACACACAACCATCCGATGCTGTCTGGCCACGCTCTCCCCTGCCACAACCTTACAGTCCCCAATCTCCCTCAGGTTTCCTCTTCTACACAGAATGTAGTCGACCTGCGTATTCCTTCCTCCACTCTTATAGGTCACTCTATGTCCCCCCCCCCCCTCTTTCGGAAATAGGTGTTCCTTGACACCAAACCTACCCATCACTTCCTCATCCCCTCTGTTTTTTTCACCAACATGTCCATTCAGGTCTGCTCCAATCACCACTCTCTCCTCCCTGGGAATACTCTCTATCATTTCATCCAGATCCTTCCAAAATGTATCTTTCTCCTCCTCATCACATCCAACCTGTAGAGCATAACCACTAACGATGTTTAGCATCAGACCTACTTCTACCTTCAGGCACATCACCTTCTTATCTGACACTCTCTTCACCTCTACTACATTCTTTGCCAACTCCTCCTTTAGGACCACCCCTACTCCATTTCTCTTTCTATCCACACCATGGTAAAACAGTTTGAACCATGCTCCAATGCTGTGAGCCTTGCTGCCCTTCCACTTGGTCTCTTGGACACATAAAACATCTACCTTCCTTCTCTGCATCATGTCAGCCAGCTCTCTATCTTTGCCTGTCATTGTCCCCACATTTAGAGTTGCAACTCTGTCCTACATTCTTCACTTTCCTCTTCTCCCTCTGTCTCCTGACATGTTTCTGTCTTCGTGATCTTTGAACAACAGTAGTGCAATTTCTGCCGGCACCCTGTTTGTCAACAGCACTGGTAGCAGTTGTTGTTAACCCGATCCGGTATGGTTTCACTTTGATGAAGTCACATTATAGTTCTGGCTAAAGTGTTTTACGTCGGATTCCCTTCCTGACACAATCCTCACCATTTACCTGGGCTTGGGACTGGCACAAGAGATACACTGGCTTGTGCTCCCTAGTGACTGGTTTAATTCTCTGCTGCTACATTATCAAATTTTAGTTCTATAATTAAAAACTGTGTTAAATACATTTATGTGTTGGGCAATGTTGATTAGCTGTAGCAGCCATTTTGAATTATATTGACAACAAACAGTAATGAGCGGGTAAATTCATGGCCAGATTAACAACAAAGTCCATGCTCAATAATCCAGGTATACAATCCAACAATTGTCAGTCAGGTCATCTGGACATATTACTTGCTCAAAGATTTTCACTTTCAGCAGAGATCAATAATTAAATGGTAAATGGACTGTACTTATATAGCGCCTTTCTATCTTATTTCAAGATACTCAAAGCGCTTTACAATAATCTGTGCCTCATTGACCCATTCATACAGCTCTATACTAGATCTCTACAAAGCTAATTGAACAAATCATTCTAAAGAGAATAATCAGTGTTTTATCACATTCATACACTGATGGGACACACATCAGAGGCTGTGAAGGGTTCAGTGTCTTGCCCAAGGACACGTCAGCATGTGACTGTTGGTGGATTTGAACCCCCAACTCTTGCATTGGAGGACAACGTCTCTAACCACTCAGCCACAGCTGCCCCCAATTAAGGTTGTTTTTATATTATTATTTATATTTTTGATCCTTGTGGTAAACCTCCAGCAGTCTTTTTTTTACATGGCTCAAGAGTTTGCATTGATTGATTGAATTTGGATCTGAAAATCCTATCTGCACTAATGAGGAGTCTCTAGTGTCTTCCTCTCATTTACTTCTTTCAGTTTCCGTTCAGTGTTTTGCCAGATCATTCACAACTAATCCTCCCAACTCTGACATTTGGTGCTATCCCTTTCCAATAAATTTCCCCTGTCTGAATTCATACCTTGTGTTATGGGGATAAGATTTCGCAATAGGATTTTTAAACTCTGTCACCCCATATTCTTGTTAAGCTACCTATCATGTCTGTCTCACCTTTTTTTCTCTACTCTTTATGACACAAACTTCATCTTTGAATTACTGGGAAAGTTTAGAACTAATGCAAAAGATCTAACAAGGTTAAGTCAGGTCCTCTGGACAAATTCTTCTTTGTTGAAACGTTTCATCTTTTATCCGAAAGACTTCTTCAGTCTGAAGAGCTGCAATAAATTAAGTCTTATAAATATCACCTTCTCATAGTGGATCAACCAGTTTGATGGTAACATCCAGAACTAGCTGTTCACGTGTAAAAAGAGTACCATCATCCTAACAATTTTTAGGCTGTGATAAAGGATGACCTAGGCTAGGCCAAGGCAAATAGGATGGCCCAGCACAGAAGAGCAACATCATCAGGCCAGGACTCTGCGGTCTACACTCATCTCCAGACCAGAGGTCACTCGTTCAGGGATGAAGATGTTCACATCCTGGATAGAGAGGAACGATGGTTTGAGAGAGGAGTGAAGGAAGACAGCTTTGTGAAGAGAAACCGTTCATCGTTTAACAGGAGCGGAGGCCTCCGGGTTCAACTGTCCCCCTTCTTACAAGGACCAATTGTTAGACTGATAGTCCTCCTTTTACACATGAACAAGTAGTTCTGGATGTTACCAGAAACCTGGTTGATCCACTATGACAAGGGGCTATTTATTAGGGATGCACTGATCCACTTTTTTTCTCTTTCTCTCGATCCGATCCCGATACCTAAATCTGAATATTGGTCGATTCCGATCCAGTTCCGATATCATGATCATCATTGATTTTATATGACGCTGAAATAATCTCCTCTCAAGTACAATTTGTACAAATATATTCATGCATGTCCAAAAAGGCAACTTGAGGTAAGTTGTATAAATGTTGGATAAGTTTTAAAGTTAGAATTAAATTCTGCTAAAACAAAACATGTTTTTTTTTTATTCCTAGCTTTAAAGTGGATATTAAAGTGATTATTTTAGGTGACTGTTTAAAGTTATTTTATATTTTTTAAATAAGGGGCAGATATAAGATTTTTCTTCTTTCTGCACTCTTTACATTCAATGTTTTCTTTTTGATGAACTTGTTTTGTTTCTTTTAAATAAATTAATAAATGAATTAA